TTGTTTTCAGTCATTGAGTAGGCTAGCTCAGCGGCTTTACCCACTGAGAAAACCTCTGCCTGGAATATACTGCAGCGATCCGGCAGCTCGATGGGCGGCCGAACAGTAAGTTCTGAGCAGTACACTCCCGCTCCTACTCCATCATTCATTTTTGAGAGGTGAAGAAGTTAAATGTTTTCCGGCTAGGCTCTATGCCACTACGCCATTCGTTTTCTTCGATAGTAATCCGAATCTCCTTATCCCAGTTATAGCAAGGTAACTATGTAGTCCGTGATGGCTACATGCCCTTTGGCTATTGAGCTGTGGCCAGTGTGTCTTTGCTTGAACTCCCCTGTTGCAATCAGTCTCCCCGCAGACTTAGCAGCAATGCACTTTGCCGCAAGGTCGATAGGTGTTATATTGAGAATTTTTTCCAGTGCAGCCGTTGGAGTTGTTCTCAGTGCTCCTGTTGTACACAATAGAGGGAGGCGTTGCGCACTCCATTGTCTTGAGATAAGTGCTCTTTTCTGTCGCGGTCCACCACACCAGCGCGACATAGAGTAGTATTGGCCTTACTACTGGTGTGTAGCACCAATGCATTACGGCAGGGGATAGGCCCCAAGTAACACCTAGCATCTTTTTGCATGCGTAGAGGGCATTACTCGCTTTCTTCACTCTGTCCTCCACATTGTACCTTCACAGCAGTTTTCAGTCCAGGATTACTCCAAGGTACTTGGTGCGGACATTTGGTTTGAGTTCAGTGTCGTTCAGTTTAGGGAAATTCCACGCAGGAATCTTCTACTTTCTTGTAAAAAGTAGCATGTCCGTTTTGTCTGCATTAACCCCTAAACCTGCGGGAGTAGTCAATTGGTGTATATTATTGAGAGCCCCATTCATTATATCACTTATGGTATCAAGGTATTTTCCGGTCACCATTACTGCAATGTCATCAGCATATGCAACTAGTTTGGGCGCCCCCTTCAAATTTATTTAGTAGGTCGTTTACCACAAGCAGCAATAGGAGCGGTGAGAGCACCCCTCCCTGTGGTGTGCCCTTTACCGCCTGCTTAGTATGCCTGGCTTCACCCCATTCTGCTCTAATTCGTCTACAGCCTATCCATAGAAGGCTCCACGTTGTTTGCTTGTATGCTACCTAGAATAGATTCTCTTGATACGTTGTTAAAAGCTCCTCCGATGTCTAAAAACACACCTAAAGCGTAGTCCTTTGTGTTCCAGCTTTCTTTCTATATTCGTTACTAGAGCATGCAGTGCAGTCTGTGTCGATCTTTCTTTTGTATATGCGTGTTGCGCTTTTGTAAGGCTGCCTTGCCTTATGCTGCCTCTTGTGTGTGTGTCTAGGATTTTCTCGAGCGTTTTTGGAGGAATGAAGTTAAACTGATGGGTCTGTATTCTTTCGAGTATAGAGGGCTCAGCAAACACAGTCTCTAACGTTAGAGAAATTTGGATTTCTACATTAGATAACTAGGGAAATTCTCTAATCGTTCTCGAGTCGATGACGAAGTCAGAGAATTACATTAGAATTCAATTCGAGAATGATTAGAGAAACAACGCAAATTCAAATAAATGTAAATAAGCAAAATTCCAAATGAATTACTCATAAATTATTTTTCAGTTCAAATAATTCATTTATTATTTTATTGCAAATACATTTAATACAAATTTTACAAACAGAGCAAGGCAAAATAGCAGTTTGAGATTCACATTCGAATCCCATTAGAGATGAACATTGGAATACGATTAGAGAATTAATATTTTCTCGAGTCGAGAACTATGTCCCATTTTTGTTGAGATCGCTATGATTCTCGATAGTTTTTCGAGTCGTTCTCTAACGTTTCAGATTGGAGAATGTGGCTAGTCCTCAAATCATTCTCTAATCGATAACTAACCTCAATGTTTGCTGGGTACCTGCCTTGGGTATGAACACAACTCACGAATCTCTCCAGGGCACAGGCACATAGTCCAGCCTCAGACATCCCACGTATATCGCCTCAGCCATGGGATCATCACGTGAGTGACCTTCTGAATCATGGCCGGGGAAATTCCATCAGTCCCAGGCGACTTGAATGAATCAAAACTTTTTATTGCCCATTCAATTTTGCTTGTTGTAATAACGTTGGGTGGGATGTCATTCACGTTTTCTTTTCCAGATTCCATGTCTATCACGTCTACACACCCTGTAAAGTGCATATCGACTAGGACCTGCAGCGATTCTTCGCAGTTTTCAGTCCATTCATCATAGTTTCTGCGTATTAACATTGGCGCGGATGGTTGCTTGGACAGTAGCTTCCTTAACCTTGCCACTTCGTTTGTATTCTCCATGCTGCCGCAGAAGTCCTTCCACGATTGCTTCTTGGACCTACGGATTTCTTTCTTATAGCTTTTTAAGAAGTCTTTGTACTCCTGCCAGCAAAACTCATTGTCTGCTGCCTTATACCAGTGTTGCCAGAATATTTTTGTATCCCATCCCCATATCGGGCCGCAGTTATCCCCAAAAAATCCCCATTTTTCTTTTAAATCCCCTTTAGTAAGAAATAAAAAAAAGCATATATTCACATTTGTGTTATTTCATTTTAATCCAGTTTTCATCTTAATATAGTTTTCATTTTAACACAGTTTTCATTTTATTACAGTTTTGAATACTTTTCTCTACACACATTTTCTCTACGTACATATGTACATATGTACATATGTACATATACATATGCATGAGGTCATTTGGTTATACGTACAACTATGGTCAGAGATTTAGCACCAAAATTCAAAGTTATATGTTTTTTCAACATATGTTTATTTATTTATTTTTACTAATTTTCTTTTAAAATATAATTCAGTCTACAACAGAAACAGCATAAATAAACGTTTAAAATCAGAAAATAATCAAACTTTTTTAGTGTAATAAAGTACAAGTCTCAAATTGCTAAAGAATACCATTTATTTTTTAGAATTTCTTTCGTGGAGGTTGTTGCGAAAATTGTTTGTTCAGTGAAAGCCAATCAAAGCAGACATCTGCGCCGAATAATGCTTTGACGGCGTTAGGCAAACTTTACAAACATATCGCGCAAAAAGTATGTACTAATAAAATCTTTATTCGAGAAATTTTTACGGGCAGCCAGAAAAATATATGTTTTAGTTTCAATATCAAAGTTTTAAACCAAACAAAGATCCCCATAAAATTCCCACATCCCCAAGCGAAAAAATCTATCCCCAAATGGTTTCATAAATCCCCAAAATGGGGCAAAGTTCCCACATCTGGCAACTCTGCCTTATACAGCTTGGGGCTTGGAATTGCGCTCAGTACGCACGGGAGGGCATGCAATTTTGTAGGCTTTGCAGAGAGCCGTGGTGATTAACCCCACATTCTCTTCGATCTCAGCGTGCGTATTGAGCTCTTTTAGATCGAATCGTTTCCCCTCTACAATCTTCCTATAGAGATCCCAGTTTCGTGTTTCTTGGGTTCCTCAGGGTCGTTACTTTGGGATTTGTTGGGGAGAAAGCAATATTGAATTCGATGTATTTATGATCAGAGAATGATGGTGTATCTAACACCTTCCAATTGTGTACCCGTATCATTTTATTTGTAAAAAGCGTTATATCTAGAACGTTCTTCGAGGTAAGTCCAACATATCGCACACCGTCCTCAAAAGAGTCACAACTCAAATTTTGGCATTTTTGAGATTATGCGGTAAAAATGTACACAGAGCTTTTATTTATCTTTCAGCAAAACTGAAGCAAATTTTTGTTATAATTTGTTAAAAAAAAAACCTAAGGTAAAGTCGCCCTTGCCCATATGATTATCATGTGCTAAGAAATATCTTCGCATTTTCTGACAAACGTATTATTTTGAGTTGTGACTCTTTTGAAGACGGTGTGCGATATGTTGACTCACTACCTCGGTTTGCTACCTCTAGACTACTTTGAATAATAAAATTTCATTGATGCCCGCGCTCCCTCAAACAGTGTGTGCCAGAAGTAGTGGCTCTTTCTTTGCATTGATAAGAGTCACTACGGTTAAATCATCTGTGGAAAGATTAGAGTTAATATAAGAGTCTCTTCCAAAAAACACATTATGAAATTTTTTTTTTTTATATGAAAAAATCCGCAACACCCTCCACAAAAAAAAAAGAATTCTAAAAAATCAACGGTAATTTTTAACGACTTGAGACTCGCGTTTTCTTAGACTGCAATGGAATGGGCTACAGAACTGCATACCCGAAAATTTTCTAAGTATTCCGATTTCAAATTGGAAATTTTGATGACAATTTTTTGAAGTTTGATTAATTTTTTTGTTTTTTTTTTGCAATTTTTGCAATTATATTTTAAATGAAAATTGTTAAAAATAAAAAATAAACATAATTTGCAAACAATATCATTTTGAATTTCGTTTCTAATTAGTTGAACGCAGGTGTATGTACATTGGACCGTTCGTTAAAAAAAAATTGTTTTGGTGGGCGGAAGAAGATGTCTTTTGGTCTAAAAATAAGCTGTGAAAAATTTTATTCCAATATGATAACTCTAACAGCCAATTTCACGAAAGCAGTTTAGATGAAAACTGATTTTAATTTTTTGAATTTTATATGGAAATTACCAGAAAATAAAAAAATCATTTTCCATATAAATTGCTGGTGAAACCGGCTGTAAGTACTTGCGCGTTGCATTTGAAAATTTAGAAAACCATATGCATTCAGGGAAAAAGTTTTAAACAAAATGGTTGAAAATCGTGAATTTTATAGTCACTTGCTATGTAAAATAACTCACAGAATCTGAATATGAGGTCAAAAATATAAAAAAAGTAGAATAGGTTTTAAGAATTTGAGAAATCAACTGTCAACTGGCCCAGTTTCCCCTTTTTTTTTGGAAATGGCATTAATGCTTATCATCAATACTTTTTATGAATGAAATAATTAATTGTTAATTCATTTTTTCCTTGGATAAATCATACAACGCTGCACATTCAATAGTGTTTAATGGTTGGTACCCCGTTCGTAACATCTCCGTTAACAATGTATGCAAGTTCATCAACCCGATTAGTTTTTAAATTCGTATTTCACAGTTCGTTTAACGCATTTATCGTACCCGTTCTTTTAGCACTATCACCTGAATTGAAATCGACACCGAACAGTTTTGTGCCAAATAATTTTATGAGATCAACTGTTCAACAATTTTTGCTGGACGTGCCCGGCCGCGTCCAAAACACCAACAGTCTAGTTGAACTCTATTGCATAGTCAAATACGTGTTAAGAGCATATGATTTATATCTATCCGCTGAAATAACCAGCAATGATAATTACCCAACTTCTGCGTCCAGTGCTGCGCTTGCAGCCCCAAGAGATGGAGATTGTCTTAAACTGGAACAAGATAAATTTGATGTCGATCAAGCATATTTTGATGAGGTTGGCGGAAAACAAATTGACACGTTCACATCAAACGAATCTGTGGAAATGCCTGGTTTTATAGGCGATATAAGCAAAACGGGCTCAGTCATGGAATTTCTGGAAGATGCCGATTTGGCCACTTTACATCAGCCACAGTTATCTAATTTATCAGAGATGTTAAAAGATTCAACGAATACACAGGGGCAGCAAAATGATGTAGCGCCACCCAAGCCTAGAACAAGTAAAAGCAAGAGAAGTGAGGTTGTTCACACCGATTACCAACCTGCAACTGCAAGACCAAGGTCGCATGCAGTAGTAAATATTAAAACACATGTAACCGAACGCGAATATACTTTGCGAAGACGTTTACCTACGCGTACTTTTTTGAGAATTATTGATAACGAGCAGGCACCAACTACGCACGGTCGTAAAACTGCCTTCAGTTTCTTCCCCCTAGAAAAAACTTGGGCAGACGGATTAATGCCTAACACAGAAACGGAACCTCCAGGGCCTGACCGTGTTCAATCGCTACTTGAAGAGGTCAGTGCCGGCACATCGTCGAGTATAAATGTTGCACGCCAACATGTTTCTGCAGCATCGGTTTCAGGACTTCCTGCATTGCAACTGGCGCAGTCACAATCTGAAGGACCATCATGGCAATTTTTCGATGACATTTTCGACACAATACAGGATATTAGGGACGGTTTGCCTCTACATACTGAAACTGCAGGGTATACCACTTACATAATTTCTATCTATTGGGGTATTCACAATGGTGTCGTAAGTGGTATGTCGTAAACTTCAAACGCCTAAAAGATATGATAAGGGGTTCGCAAAGTACCACCAAAGTCATATTATGAATGTTTGCAGTATTCAAAAATAGCTGGTTGTCGTTTCAAGTTCTCTAAACATTTATTTAAGCTCTTCAAGTTTACGACATACAACAATACGACACCGTTGTGAATCCCTCATATGTATGTAAGACTTTACACACAATTTATTTAAAAAGATTACGTATTGGAAATAATTGAAATGCGGCCGTAGTAACGCACTGGGTATAGTAGAAATGTTTATGGAACTCACCACCGTCTTCAAACGGAACACAACTAAAAATTACACGTTTGTCAGAAAAGGCGAAAAACTATTTCTTAGCACATGACAATCATATGGGCAAGGGAGACTTTAGCTTAGGTTTGTTTTTCACAAATTATAACAAAAATTTGCTCCAGCTTTTACTGAAAGATAAATAAAATTTCTGCGTACATTTTTAGCCCATAACTTCAAAAATACCAAATTTTGAGTTGTGCCTCTTTTGAAGACGGTGTTCATACCACTGCATGCAAAAGAATGCATATGATTAGATCATGGCATAAGATTGAAAAAATATTCAGTTAACAATTTTGTATGCAACCAAAAGGTTAATACATACCGTCATTCTTATGCCAGAAGCATGAATGTGCAAATTTGTAAGTTTTGAGTTATTGGCTTGACTTGATTAACCTTTGGATGTTCTATGTTATACCAAAACCCAGAATACCATGCGTACACGGAAACTACATATTTTATAATTTCATTTACGTAAATCTAGGGTTAAAGGCCGTTTTCGCAGTGACGAGTTAACTACAGGTTTTCAGCACAAAAATTGAAAGTTAAATGCCGAATTTGAGTTAACCCCCCGCTGTGACAAGCGCACTTACCCTGACCATTTTTTCGGAGTATTCTGAATTGTTAAGAAATTTTAAAGAATTCGTAAAGACCTCATCCGATTTTTTGCCGAATTTTCTAAAATGAAATAAACTGCATACTTCGATTCTTTTACGAAGAAAATCGGTAAAGCAATGGAAATAATGCTGCTATGTAAAGAATTTCTTGCAAAATTTTCTTTATTTTTTGTACAGAAATTTCTTTGCGAGTTCGTAGTGACGGCCGAGTCCGAGATGTTTTAGTCGATTGTCTCGATTATTCAAATATCTCGATTGTTCTCGATGTTCTCTCTCATAGACGAATTGCTACTCGAAAATAGTCGTTTTTTATGGCCAATTGTAATCAGCTATTACCATTTCCTCATAGTAGTAAGCCATTCAGAGTCCGCAAAAGACTCCGGAAGCAGTGTCCAGAGGATGCATCAGACTAGGCCGAGCATACTTTGAACTGACATTAAATTATAACTTATTAAAGTTGTATTACATGGCAGTTGAGAAGTGCATGTGTAAAAATTTCATTAATTTAACAAAGCTTGCATTTAGGCGCCGCCTGGTGTTTGCAGCCGCGCCAAAGGAAACATATTGGCTAAAGGCCCGTTTACATAAAAATTTGGCATTGCGTTGGCGTTGGCGTCGCTTTGACAGCAGCGCGAGTAACCCCGTGCTTGCTACACTGAATGCTTAGCAGTGAATATTTTGGGCACTTAATTAACATACTAGCGGCAGATAAATCAAAATTTGATATCAATAATTGCATTAAAAACTATATTTCATGCCCGCATTTGATTAAAAAGAAACATTATTTCACATAATTTTGATTCTTTGGAACAGCTGACGAACGAAGCACGCGAAAAGTTGAGAATTGGCCATCTTTCTGTTCTGTTGATTTTGCGCTGGCGTTGCCCAACTTTGGTTATTTGGAGACTTTCATATAAATGGTTGTATTCGTAGTCAGTGGTCTAAGCGACGCCAACGCAACGCCAAAGTTGTATGTAAACGGGCCTTAACAATCTCTGTTCTCTGTCGCAGACCATGGCAACGATATAACTACGAAAAAACAAATAAGCATTCCTCTATTGGCGCTGTAACCGCCTAAGCGATTTTGGCCGAGTCCAAAACAGCACGCCAGTCATTTCTCTTCTGTGCTAACTGACGCCAATTGGAAATGCCAAGTGAAGTGAAGCCAAGTCCTTCTCTACCTGGTCTTTCCCACGCAGAGGCCTTCCTCTTCCTCTTGTTACCAGCATCGCGGCCCGCGTTGAATACTTTCAGAGCAGGAGCGTTTCTTCCATTCGAACGACACGGCCAAGCCAGCGGAGCCGCTGAATTTTAATTCGCTGTACTATATCTATATCGTTGTAAAGCTCATACAGCTCAACGTTAAATCGTCTGCGGTATTCGCCATCGCCAACGCGTACACGTCCGTAAATCTTTCGCAGAATCTTTCTCTCGAAAACTCCAAGAGCCGCTTCATCAGATGTTTTCATTGTCCATGCCTCCGCGCCCTACACCAGCACAGGCATGATGAGTGTGGTTTTCGTACGTCGAGAGAGGACTCCTGAATTGCCAAAGTAGCACTTGTTGGCAAGACATTATTATTGGTGTTAACGCTGGTTCCCAAATAAACGAAGTAGTCTACTTTTTCAAACTTGTAACTGTCAACAGTGACGTGGGTGCCAAGACGCGTATGCTCTGACTGTTTGTGTGCTGACAGGAGATACTTCGTTTTGTCCTCGTTCACCACCAGACCCATTCGCTTTGCTTCTCTATCCAATCCCGAGAAGGCAGAACAGACGTAGCCCTTGTTTTTACCGATAATATCGATGTCGTCGGCATACGCCAGCAATTGTACGCTCTTATAAAGTATTGTGCCTGAGCGGTTCAGTTCTGCGGCTCTTATTATCTTCTCTCACATCAGATTAAAGAAATCATACGAAAGGGAGTCCCCTTGTCTGAAACCTCGTTTGGTATCAAACGNTGTGCTAACTGACGCCAATTGGAAATGCCAAGTGAAGTGAAGCCAAGTCCTTCTCTACCTGGTCTTTCCCACGCAGAGGCCTTCCTCTTCCTCTTGTTACCAGCATCGCGGCCCGCGTTGAATACTTTCAGAGCAGGAGCGTTTCTTCCATTCGAACGACACGGCCAAGCCAGCGGAGCCGCTGAATTTTAATTCGCTGCACTATATCTATATCGTTGTAAAGCTCATACAGCTCATCGTTAAATCGTCTGCGATATTCGCCATCACCAACGCGTAAAGGTCCGTAAATCTTTCGCAGAATCTTTCTCTCGAAAACTCCAAGAGCCGCCTCATCAGATGCTTTCATTGTCCATGCTTCCGCGCCATACACCAGCACAGGCATGATGAGTGACTTATAGAGTGTGATCTTTGTACGACGAGAGAGGACTTTACTTCTCAATTGCCTACTCAGCCCAAAGTAGCACTTGTTGGCAAGAGTGATTCTCCGTTGGATTTCAAGGCTGACATTATTATTGGTGTTAATGCTGGTTCCCAAATAAACGAAGTCGTCTACTTTTTCAAACTTGTAACTGTCAACAGTGACGTGGGTGCCAAGACGCGTATGCTCTGACTGTTTGTGTGATGACAGGAGATACTTCGTTTTATCCTCGTCCACCACCAGACCCATTCGCTTTGCTTCTCTATTCAATCCCGAGAAGGCAGAACAGACGTAGC